CTCATTGCTGTTGTTCGTCATCGCCGCTCTAGCTCATCAGCACGGCTCAGCCCCTGCTCCATGCCGGTGCACATCGCCGGATTGCCCGCACAGATCCACCGGCAAACAAGCTACTGCTGTCACCGGCGTTGCCACTCATGCTCACCACCGCCAGATCCAAAGGCAAGTGTAATAAGGCCTTACTTGCATCACCGTCCCTTCTCCTTGAAACTCATCTCTTTACTAATGTTTATTGATGCAATGCCATGGTAGGGCAACCTCATCTCTTTGGTGGGTGGTGTCCTTCCAGATGAAGGAGGTCTGCAACATGAGGAACACAGTGGACAGCCTCTCAGATGACGTGCTTGCCGACATCTTTAGCTACCTCCCCGTCCGGTCCTTGTACTGCTGCAAGTGTGTCTGTCGCTCCTAGAGGCGCGTCATCTCCGACTCCTATCAACGTAAGAAGCTTTCACAGACTGTCGTCGGCTTCTTCTATGGCAGCTGGTGGAAGGGCAATCACCACTTCACCAGCATCACCGGTGAACAACCCTCCTTGTCCTTCTTGCCCTTCCCCCTTAAAAATTTCTAGTCTCAGATTGTTGCAGCGGCCTCGTCCTTTGCTAATGTGCTGGGCTTGATAGATTAAGTCGCTATATTATCTGCAATCCAGCGACCCACAAATGGCATGTACTACCGCGTAGCATCCGTACTGTTGATCAGGCTCGCTTAGGTTTTGACCCAACGTCCTCGCACTTCTATGTGATTGAATTTGTTGAGATGGAGGGTGCGTGCGTAGGTGTGGAGATCTACCCATTTAAAACTGCAGCATGGATCTTTAAGGAATCCGAATAGGGCGAGGGTAGTATTGTTCTACGTTCAAAATCGAGAAGTGTTTTTCTTAATGGTTTTATGCACATGCTTAAGTACTCTACGATAGTTGCTGTGGATATGGAGGGAAAGACATGAAGAACAATTCGTAAACCAGGTGGTGCTGAAATGTCCATCCATCAAGCTCAAGGTCACCTATGTGTATGTTGTGCTGATTTTCGCAATAGGTCTTGGCTTTTAGTGTGGATACTTGAAGACTATGGTACTAATAACTGGAGTTTGAAGCATGTTGTGGACATGGAGGAATTTGGATGCATGAATATTAAAGTTGATTCTGAGCTTTGTGATGAGGAGTACAGAGTGAATATAGTTCACCCAGAATGGAATTTTATTTTTCTTGTTGGGAAGGATAGAACATTGATTGCATATGACATGGATCGCAGAAAGGTTCATGTCATCCATGCCTGTGTCCTCCGCTTTTGTAGATCAAGAGGACGTTTCTATATGAATAGGCCTTACTATCTTTCTTATGTTTCTTTATTCATGGAGTCATTAGCAGAGCAGTAAAGGTGCATTTCCTGTATTTTGTTGTCACGGACAGTCTTTGTTCAGGTAGACAGTTGTTTTTATTCTATGTATGTATAAGCCAATTTTGGCTTGTTAACTAAAGGAATGGTATGTTCAATATTATTAATTCTGCTGCTTTATTCAGGTTGTGGATCATAGATGAATAAGAAGGGTTCCATGGTGCATTGGCTACCAATCCGAATAATGCACTAATTATATTCATTTGCCTTGCAAGCAAGAGTGCCACATAGAAGGAGCACAGCTACGTCGTTTCGTTATGTAAGTTCGTATACATAAGTACCTTTAGTATGCTCTATGTACCGCTTGTGTTAGGACATCAGTTGAGAAAGATGTTATGGTAGCGTCCATTGTTATTGTAAGAAGTACTCTTGTTTGTGAACATGATTTATGTATGTAATGATTATATATCTATATGCTTTATATTCATGAAGCTATTAAGGGCCCAGCTGAATTAGTAACTATTGTGAAACCGGATGAAATTCTATCACCGTTGCTATACGTATGATGCGACAGGGATCAAAAGTATATCACCGCCGAATCCTTTAGTAACCCGACACCGACTAAACGATCATCAAAGGCGGATCGTGGTGCAAGGCGACGGTGACCATGACTTTTGTACTGACGGAATCATACGCTGAAGCGACGGTGGTGTTAACCTCTACACAAGCGTCTCGGTCGTTGAACCGACAGTGAACCCGCACCGCTGACAGTCGAGTCGAAGAACAAGACGACGGTGCTGGTGACCACTACATAGGCGGTTGATGTGCCCACACGACGGTTTTAATAGCCTCGACACAGTCGGATCATTTGCCAATGCAGCGGAGTTAGTGTACATCCACAGCCGGATCGTGCTCCAATGCGATTGAAGTAAGGACCTAATCACGGACGGATCATAAGCTAATCGACGGTGTTAGTGTATACCGCAGTCGGTCCTAGATGCCGACGGTGAAGGCTATGACCATCACTGTCGACAGCTTACGGCCGAGGCCGAAATTGGACTGTGATGTGGGTTACGACACGGCTGTGAAAGATACGAATATAGTAGTGCTAGCTTCGCCTATGCGTATTTTTGGAGGGTCGAAGTCTCGAGTGCTTAAGCTTTTCATTTAGCTTCACCCTTGCCTACTGGCGTACGTGCCGGCCAACACCGACGATGCGGGTGGGCAGCTGTTCTAGGCAAGCGAAGCTGACAGTCTAGCCACGCTACACCGTTTCATGGGCTGGCAGGGCCTTCTTCAACAAGTTCTACCTCGCCGATGCTGCCGAGGACGTCCGAGACGGTTCAGCTACACCGTCTTTATGCATGTTATACTACTACAACCACCACTACGTGTCGTTCGATACCGCCGAGGTGAACGATGCAGGCGGGCATAGCTGATATTGCAGCTATGTTGTACCGGCCGACCGACGAGCGCTACATCTACACCAGCACCACATGCATGCTACTTGTGGAGCGCAAATATATCAGGAACCTGTATTTGTATTTTCATTAAATATAAATAAATATGTGTTCCCGTCTCTTTGTTTCTTTTGTGTACTTTAGTACACTGGCATGTCCCACGTTTTTTATTATATGCACAGAGAGATTCTTAGTGATTTTTCTGTCCAAATACCCTTAGGGCTCTAATTCAAGTAGAGGACTAAGTTCCTGAGGTGCAAGGCCTTCTGTTCTCTGCAGTTGGTCGTTCAAGATATTTCTTTTATGTTCCTTGGCCAAAAAAAAAATGTTTACCTTTTAGGAATAGTTGACATGGGAGGCGGGAGGCAATTGAATTTGATGGCCTGCCATGCTTACCTTCTGAGCTTTGGTAATCATTGTGACGATAATAGAGCTCTTCTTCAATACAAGCATTAAAAAGAAAAAGTTACCCATCACTATATTTATCTTTATTTTTTTTTCATATGGCCTACCAATAACATTAAAATCTCCATCAATTAAAAGTGGTTTGTCATTAAAATTGCACAAAGCGCAACACTGGATTGTCGTTCCTAATAAATCGGCCGTTGCCGTTGTTTAAATTCGATGGTTCGGTACCTGGGTCGCTGTCCGGTCGTGCTTTGCCGGCCGCATCGATCAAAAGCTCTCCTAAGACGACGCATGGTATAGGGTCAGCGTCAGGCCACACGCACCTCGTCGTCCATGCCTGATGATCATGCATTCTTTCTCCGCGGAAAACGACCATGCACTGGATCACTCTCTTCTCTTCGCTCTCGAGTCGAATATAGGGTCATCATGGGTTGATAATTTGGAGTTGGCCTAGCTAGCCTACACCTGGATAGAAGGATAAGCTTTCACCATTATCATTTACGGAATTACGGTGGTAAAGGGAAACCGAGCTCCAATCTTTTCTCATCGAAACCTCAATTCGCCAACCCGCCCAACCGTGTACTCTTTGAATATTTATTCACACTACCAAAACGACTCCGGCTCCTCTAGTTTTCATTAAAAAACGGCTTCTCCGAAAAAACGTTTAGCAGGGCTCGGAGGAGCCAGAGCTGGAGCCAGGGAGGAGCCTTGCTAAACAGCCCTTAGTCACATCAGGTTGCAGTGATACATGATGGCATGGTCATAGTTGTTGTTCATGAGCATTATTTTCTTCACCATAAACACAAGATCCTAAAATCCACCTAAACCCTCTCCCAGTTGCCAACCTTTGTTCCCATGGGCGGGAAAACACATTTGAGGCCTTGTTTGGATGTTATCGGATTCATCTCAATCCACATGTGTTGGTGTGGATTATAATGGAATTTAGTTCAAGTTTCACTCCAATCCATACTAACACATGTGGATTGATACAAATCCGACTAGATCCAAACAAGGTCTGAGATGGAAGGAGGATCGTTTAGGGTGCCACTAAATTTCGGGTGTTGGATAAGATTATTGTTAGTTTCTTTTCATATAAACCTTATTTTTTACTATAGGATGCTAAATATGGACACTCTTGGAGATAGTTGTATCTAAAGTAACTTCGTTCAACAATTTACCACCCGCTTGATTGAGTAGCAATTTTTTTTAGCGTCCTAGCCACTGCTCACACTCCCTCAATCACCAAAAATGTCATTTACAACCTATACCTGATAATGCATTTCATGGTAAATCTAATAACACTTATTAATATTATCAATATTATTTCTTTTGTTTTAATAAACTTAGTCAAATGTAAGATGGTTTGACATTCTTTTGGGGCAGATAAGAGCGAGCAATTGCCACTCGAAGATTGTCATAATGCATTTTCGTTTTCCAAATGTATCCACTTAAGAGTACCATCAACATACAGATTAGGAAAGGAAATTATTACAGGGGAGAAAACTATAAACAACTGAAGAATTCTCGCAATCATAGTTTCCAGTAATTTCCACGCTAATACATCACAAAAAGCGAACATTCAAGCACCTACAGTCCAACCAGTTAGTCTAAAGATCAAAGTTTCAGTATGAGTTCCCTGCAATTTCAGATGACCAGAACATCCTAGAATCGAACGGCCTCCTACATAGTGAAAGACAGGAAGGAAACTTATTCGTATACTTGTTGTGTGCAACAACCGTTCTGCCATATACTATACTTGGATGCGAAAAATGCAATGAGATTCTTTCAGTGGATGTCATTGCTGGATCTGCTTTAGCTTTTCTTCTTGGTTTTCATAATCTTCAAGCCTCTTCAACCACCGCAAACCGAGATCACAGCCTGCCTCAGCTGCAATTTGAAACTGTTCTTTCGCTAGCTTTATTGGATCCTGCTGCAGGGTCCTTTTCCGCATTTTCCCAGTTGATGGACTCTTGCCTGAGTTGAATCTCGTAATCACTTCAGGTATTTCAGCACCTGAAAACAATTGCAATGTTAGGTGGAACGAATAATTAATTTGTAATAAGATGTTACATGCTTTAGAATGCCAAAAATAACCAATATTCCACAATCAATGATGCAATAACGTGTAACTAAGTTACCCAGACACTATAGTTATCTCACAGACCTTTAAGAAGCAAGGATCCATATGCGATAGCAGCACCAGCATGTCCCTGGTGATGGTCAGAGTTCAAGTCTCATAACACAAACCACAATCAGGTTATGTATAAGTACGAGAAACTGAACTTTGAACATGTAATTCATATCATACTATCAATTATTTAACTTTGTTGGAAAAACTTGACACCTTTTCTGAAGCTCTATGAAAACACCACAACGCAGAAGCTATATCTCTCTTAACACAGTCTCCAGTTAGATATACAGCACCGAGAAGATATAAAGCGGCAGGGTGCAGCTGCAATCAAGGAGTCAGGTCAAAATAAAATAGCCCTGACAAATGGCACATCAGAAAGCACAGGATCAGCATTCAGGTAAGCAGCACACTGCATACCTGATCAACAGCTTGCTCAATGTAATGGAAAGCCTGTTGATCTGACTGAACATAGTCATTCTACATTAGCAACAGAGACAAACCATCAATTAAAATGAACACAAATTCCATGAATATCAAAAGGCCACTGCCTAACAAAAAACTAGGTATGAACTGTAAAAACCTCAATTCTTAGTCGACATCCAAGTTCATACTGTGCATCTGGATCACCCATATTTGCAGCTTCAACCAACAAAGCAGCACCACTGCACACGTGAAAAGGGAACAGCTTTTAATTCACATGGAATTCTATTGAGTCCAAGACATGTATCATGAGATGGCAGCAACAAAAACAAATGTTCCAAAAAGAAGACAGCAATAGGCAAGGTCGGTTTTACTTCCTATTGTATTTTATGGCCTAATTGAAAAGTGAGCAGTTTTTAGGATGATCCAACTTCAGCCCTTTCTCTTCCAATTTTGTTTTATGTCGAGTTGCTAATTCCAATACATTTGTCTCCCAATGTAATTCAATTGAATGCTAAGGTAGCAAACTTTGAAGCAACTAAATGGTGCATAATACTATTCTTGCATACTCCATAACAGAAATATATTGTTCGCAGCACGGCAGCAGTGACCTACAACAGCCAAATCTCAACCACTTCAAACAGACTACACAATAGTGAATGGTGATTACTGATTACTATTGAGGCTTCTCACAGCTTGTGGGTGACTGATGAGATTTCAACCACTAAACCACTAAATACGTAGTACCCTATTTCTCTAATGCTACCCTATAACTTGTAACCATTGATCAAGATTTTTGGGCATAGTTGCATCACAGTACAAAACTCTGCACTTCTATACACTAAACTTTCAATTGCAATGACACTTTTTGGATGGAAATAGGAGGACACAAATAGTTGTCTAGCATAAAACATGTGCTGCGCAGCATACTAGCCATATCAATAACAAGATCAGTATGTGAATGCAAGGCTTAAACAAATTATGTGGCCTAAAAAATGAATTTAACTAATTCTAACACCATGCTATATTTTGAAATAGAGTTAAGATTGATAAATTAAAAAAAGTCTTGTTAACTAATTCTGAATTCTGATAGATATTAGGCACATATGAATCAGTTGCCAACTCTGCTAGCTAATTCACAATCCTAGAAGCCTAATATAGCAACATATTTACCATCTAAATGATACGTAGTGGTAACATATAGCAGCAAATATATGATGAGCAGCATGCCTGCTAGTGTAGAATGCATAACCGATATCAAGTTTCTGAAACCATAACACTGATAATACATAATACTTCTACCGTGCACTAATCAATGGTTTAGGACTCAATCCACTTAAAAGGAATATGTAAAAGAGTTGTCAAAACAACAACAAAAGCACTGACGAAACTATTTTCGTGCATTTCCACGTGCCTGGAAGCAATAGAACAGAACATAGCAGCAATATAATTTATATGACATAAAATAAGCACTACGTTAAAATTACAAGAAGTAAAGTTACTCACACTGCCTTACAAGCACCAGGAACATGATACTTGAAGTGCATTTTTGCCCAGCCAATACCTCGCATGTGTATTATCATTGTCAATCTCCAAAGCCAGTTCAAAGTTTTCCTTAGCGCCCTTTACACATGAAGAAAGTTACGAGATGTTAAGATCATTAGTTAAAAAACAAGAGTGTCAAGCAGGTGGCCATGAGAGGTACAACTTAGAAGGTTAAGCTGGTTAAATAACAAGGTCAGTGTGATCTAGTGGAATATCTCCACTACACAACTCCAGCTGATTAATTCACGGAATATCTAGAGAACTCGTTACCCCAAGTTCTCTGCCAATGCTGGAGATATCACAAATTTCACCTAATAGGCTACAATCTGTGAACCCTTTTGTGTGGATTAGGTGCTCCTTCATCTTATTGTGGAGAAATGGGGGCAGAAAGGAAGATAAACCCTAAGCCGTACCCTTAGAAGCGGGATGAGGCGCTTGTCGTTGCGGTCGGCGTAGTCGATGACGCGGTCGACCTCCTGGAGCGCACTCCATCCCTTGGCCACCAGCTCCATCGCCTTCTTGTTCCTGTCGTGCATCCACCTCTGTAACCAGACACCAAAATAAGAAATAGACCGCGTCAGCATATCTGCTCGTCACCAGCGCCACCAGTATAAAACATGGCTATCATCAGATGAGATCCACCCACGGCCCACTCGACGCGCCCTAACCTGTGGGTTCAGTGCGGCGGCGAGCTGGCTGGCGCGCACGGAAGAAGACGAAGACGAGGCGGCGGCGGACAGCCGCCGCGCTGACGCGACGAGCATGACGGCGTGTCGAGCGAGGAGAGCGGCACGGAAGCCTAGCCGCGAGCTATAGCTGGTGCTCTGGCGGAGACGCCACCCCGCCCTCCCGTCGTCTTCGTCTTCTTCCAGCGGCTGCGGCCGAGGGGAGCGTGGAAGCAGTGGCGGCCGCTCAGGCCGTCGACAGCCCGAGTCGCTGACCGGTGGACCCCGCTCGAGGCTTCGAAACCTCAAAGCTCGCCGGATTCATGGACCGGGCTGAGCTTACTCGAACTCAAGGCCCGAAATTGTACCGTGACACTGGACCGGGTTATACGGGCCTTGGGCACCTTCCGTTTTCCCCTTTTTTTTTACTGAAAAAATCATTTATCCAACTATTGTCATGGTGTGATTTTTCTCCTCAAACTCCAAAATTGAACATCTTACATCTGAACTCTCAAAAATGTTTAAACTAACTCTCTACCGGGTTTAGAAGTGGTTTTAAGGCGGTTTCATCTTTTTAGTTAAAAATCTCATAAATGCATCATAAGGTTTTTATAAATCACGAAAATGGCTATAAATTTATAAAATTTCTAATAAAAATTATAGAGAAACATTGGGACATGATAAGCCTAATAAACTATTTATATCAAGTGGAAAATGTCAATAGAAGTTTTAAAAAATTATAATTAGCACCATGAAAATGGAAAAGGATATCTAGAAAAATCTAAAAAATCCTAAACATTCTATTAATGTCTAAGTGCATTTTAAAACTTTCCATAACAAAAATATGTGATGCAACCAACAAGAATCGGACATACATTAATGTTGAATGCACTCACGTTGGTTGCATCTTATATTTTTGTTGTGAAAAGTTTTTAAAACATATTTATACATTAATTAAAAATTTTAGATTTTCTATATGTTTTTCAATTTTTCTATAATAAAAGCTATTTTTGGAAGCTTTTAAAAATACCTTCAAGAGTTTTAAAACTTGTATTTGAGTTTGTCATGTCCTAATCTATATCCAAGATTTTTTTTCTCAAAAATTTTAGAGGCTTAAAGACATTTTCTATGGTTTAAAAACATTATCATGTATTTATATGTTTTTTAACTAGAAAAAGATGAAGCGGTCTTGAAAACCATTTCTGAAGGGAGGTAATTTAAACAGTTTAAGAGTTGAGAGTGCGATTTAAGATATATGGTTTTAGAGTTCGAAGAGGCAAATCATGACGATAATTTAGGGAAGTAGGGACCTTTTCCTCTTTTTTATTTAGATGCGTTTAAAATCAAATGGAGCTCTACCAAACAGGCCATAAGATTCATTAGTTGCTAAAAGGATATTAGTCAATAAAGTTTATACTAACACCATACAATAACTTTGTTGAAGTTGATAAATATTTATACAAACTAATCGTTGATTGTTGAAGCGGCCTTTACATGTCCCTATAAAGTCATCATTTTGGGGATGCGAGAGTTAGCCATGGAGGAGAGTCCGTAGAAGGATGGCCACATTGGCATGCCACATGCCCACATATGCAAGCATATGATAATTATTGATATTTGGAGCACTAGCACAATTACTCTCTTCGTCCAAAAAGAATAGAAGTCTCATTTACCGACAAGTCAAATAATCCCAAATTTAGCTAGGTTTATTAAAAATAGTATCAATTTTTATATCACTAAATAGGTTTATTATGAAAAATATATTCCATGATTAATCTATTGAAATATTTATTACATATCATAACTATTAGTGTTTTTATAAATATTTGATTAAATTTAGTGTTGTTTGAGTCATCGGGGAGCAAGATAGTATATTTATAAATTAATGGTTTTCAGGAGACACCTCCGAATCAGTTTGGGGGATTGTTGATGCACTTTGCTTCTTATATACTCCCTCCATGTTCCTAAAAAGAATTATTTTAGACAGCGATACGGTCTTCAAAGCATAACTTTGACTTCTTATTTTTATGAAAATATTTATTGAAAAGTGATATGTGTATATTTTTATGAAAGTATTTTTAAGACAAATCTATCCACATGGTTTTTATATTTCCAAACTCAACAATTTAAAAGTTATTTATGATTTATATTACCAATGTTTGACCCAAACCATGTCCAAAATAGCTTCTTTAGGAACATGGAGGGAGTATTATAATATATGCTCACAAAAAGTATATTTATGATAATCTTATATGGATATGGATTTTCTGTTGTCACAATCTTCTTCAATATCAGAGTGGTTAATTGCATCAATTTTCTATTTGTTATCTTCTCCTATTTGAATTCGTGGTTTGTGGTTGTCCATGGTTCTTGCGATAACACTTGTCCAACCGCTCCACTCTCTACAGTGATATGGACGGCATTGCCAACGTCAAGGAAATGTATTTTGAACATTTCTTTATCAGATGAAAAATGCAAGAGGATCGTCTTCTCAGATGTGAGGGCACGAGAATGACACCAGAAGATCCATGGCTGCACCTAATTCCGGGTGCTGACCTGGGACAACTTGTCAGGTCGAGAACACAGGTTTTAATGGGCAATTACCAGGTCAAGTCTTCTCTTGAAGATAAAGCGACTGATGAAGGAAATAAGGAAAAAAAAAAAAGATGTGTAATGTGATCATATCAATCTGTACACTGTATATCATATAAACTGTATGTGTACACCGATTACATCCTTCAGATGCCTGTAATTCTCGCTTTTTTAGTACTCTTGAGCAAACATGGAGATTCCTCACGTACTTTTTGAGCAGTGTGATTCAAGTAACTTCTAAGCATAACTCATCAGGCATCAAGTCAGCTAGGCCTCAAGAACTTGGCAATGGAGGATGTTGTTTTTGGCGCGGCTGCGGCCAGCGAGGTTGGACAACAGTCCCGTGACGAAGCTCTTGGCATGCGCTTTGCCGGCGAGGGTCTGCCACCGCTGGTTTCCTGCCCCGGCCGCGACGTCGACAGCCGAGACGCTCATGTCGTTGCGGACGACGCAGAGCCTTCCGTGGAGGGCGACAATGGCGGCCGCCTCCGCCGCCTGGGAGCTCCCTCGGTGCTGCTTGCTGTCGACGTAGGTGGTCCACGCGTCCGCGGCCTCGTCGTAGGCCCTCAACCGGCATCCGTCCTTGCAGTCGGCAGCGTAGAGCCGGCCGTTGAGGCACGCGCTGGGGCTCCGCCAGCCGGTGACCATGCCGTCGAGGACGACGGACCACGCGTCGGCGTCCGGGGAGTACGCCTGGCTCAGCACCTGCTGCTGCGCGCCGATGCCCTTCACGTACCACCGCCCGCCGTGCACCGCGCTGACGAACGGCGCCATCGGCGCGGCCATCTCGGCGACGAAGGACCACCGGTTCTTGGCCGGGTCGAACACCTCGGCGGACCTGAGCCCGCCCCCACCGCCGCCGCTGCAGCTCTCGCCGCCCGCGACGTACAGGCGGTTGCCCATGACGCACACGTCGAAGCACTGGCGGCGGCGCAGCATGTCCGGCGCGCGGTGCCACCGGTTGCTCCGGGCGCTGTAGAACACCACCCGCCGCATGGCGCCGCCGCCCCTGCGCTGGTCCCTGCCGCCGAGCAGGTACAGGTGGCAGCCGCCGAGCACGGCGCAGCCGAACCCGTCGGCCTCAGCGTACTCGCGCGGCACGGGCGGCAGCGCGCGCCACGCGCCGCGCGACGGGTCCAGCACGTCCCACGACACGCGCCCGTCCCTGCCGTCGCGCTTCACGGCGTACAGCCACTGCTCCGCGAGCCCGAGCCGCCGGCGGAGGCCGTAGAAGTAGTTGCCGGCGAGCAGGCGGCACCACTTCCGGCACACCAGCCTCAGCTTACAGTGGTCAGCTCTGGGCACCCGGATGAGACAGGCAATGGCGAGGTCGTCCGGAAGGCCCGGGAGCAGCGGGCACGGCCCTCCGCGGCTGCTCCGGTCTGCGCCCGGCCGTGGCTTGAGCGGGTGGATGGACGCCCTGAGGCTCGGTTGCACGCACGCCTTCGACGCCGCAATTCGCCTCGCCGCGGCGGCGGCGGATGATCTGTCCACCCGGCAAAAGCATGCAGAGCTGTCAACCTGCGGTGAGCCATCACAAGAAACAGAAATTGTTAGGTAGTTCTAAAAATTGTCAAGAGATTCAAAAAAAAAATGTCAAGAGGTAGGCCAAATCATAAATAAAAGAAGATTATTATGAACTAAAAGCACCATAATTGGTGTTGTTGGGAATTAAATTGAGTGTGCTTATTTTCCCACAGACGTGATTGGTTCATGAAACTTTAGAGTGATCAGACAAGAGCATGAGACAGACACTGAATGGTGTCATGAAACAGCAACTACTTACTACAGAAGTAGTTGAACAACTACCTTCTGGGGGACCAAGCTTGATGGCATCGCCATTCAAGTTTCACCATGAAGGATTGAAGGGCATTAGAAATGGCGCTGATGATATGTTTACATCAATACATTTTCTATTTTTCTCTAGAGGAAGCAGTGCTGAATGTATTATTATGCAACTAAGCAACTCAATGAACTTTCCGCAGGTCAAATGAAAATGATTTGTAAACTGAATTCACTTGTTCTACTCTGCCCAGAATTATGTGCGATTACATTAGAAAAGGCACAATCTTTTCTAGAAGAACGTCAATAATTTCAGATAGAAAAGTCTCCGTAGGAAAACATCTAGATGCTCATACTGATAGACGCTAACAGACTTCCATCCGACTTCAGAACAAGATTGCTTGGCCATTTTTTCCTAGTGTGTTTCTTCTGAATTAGATTAGAATTCTATGAAGTCCAACCGACCAAAACACCTTCAAAGATTAGAATTCTTCTGAATTAGATTGCTTGGCCATTTTTTCCTCGAGTGTTTCTGTCTGACTAAGAACAACAGGCTTACAGGCCAGAACCCAAAGCGTCGTCAGAGATTTCCAAAAACCTGCTCAACTAAAGCAATCCAACGATGGCATGTATGCAAATAAGCAAAGGAATATGTATAATCCGGAGACGAACAGGAGCAGAAGAGGAGAGACACAAGAGGCAAAGAGAGACTCACCAACGGAGCT